GATACTTCGATGAGCCTTGCTAGGATATTCCTTCAAGGGATATTTCAAGGATACCTTCAAGGAATTAACAAGTCAGAGGGGTCTGGATGTAGTGGACCCCTACTGTCTCCGAGTTGTCTTTTATGACGTACCAGTCGGATCGCCCAGCTAACGCCGGATCGGCCCTTCTTTTTTTGGAGACCTGTGGCAAAATAGAACAATATATCATTCGCGGTTGACTACTCGTTAATTTCGCCATCAATCGCTCCACAATCTTTTTCTTTGAAATTCAAATTGCCATATTTGCACATTGCGAAAAATGGAAATGTTACGACTACGGTTATTATGGTTATACGCGTATTATGCCTATGATCAATGTCCGAAGTTATGGTTATGGTTATGTTTAAAGCCACATAATCAACACAATGGTGCCCCCGCGAACAACAGTGAAAATCGAGGAACGAAAAATGAAAAGACAGATTAAAGAGGGCTTATCGCGGCCGTCCAAACGTAAAAACCTTACTTCTTTCAAGAGCGGACCACAGCGAACCCTCACGTGGTCACATGGCATCAGCATGAGAACAACATGAGAACAGTACCTGAAATGTTTGAAGTAGCTTTGAAACCTTCAAGGGATATTTCAAGGATACCTTCAAGGAATTAGTAAGTCAGAGGGGTCTGGATGTAGTGGACCCCTGCTGTCTCCGAGTTGTCTTTTATGACGTACCAGTCGGATCGCCCAGCTAACGCCGGGCTCTCCTCTTTCTTATGTTTTGCTCATATGTTTCTCTTGGAGGTAGAAATCGGCCTGCCTAAGGTTGTTCAAAGGCCGCGGTACCAAGTAGACCAACCATTAAGCCTTCCTGGCAGTTGAGCGAGAATTCAGCCATATTCCTCATCCCATTACAGACAAAATGACCATTCAAAATGGCAAATCGGCCCTTTTTTTTGGAGACCTGTGGCAAAATAGAACAATATATCATTCGCGGTTGACTACTCGTTAATTTCGCCATCAATCGCTCCACAATCTTTTTCTTTGAAATTCAAATTGCCATATTTGCACATTGCGAAAAATGGAAATGTTACGACTACGGTTATTATGGTTATACGCGTATTATGCCTATGATCAATGTCCGAAGTTATGGTTATGGTTATGTTTAAAGCCACATAATCAACACAATGGTTTCCCCGCGAACAACAGTGAAGATCGAGGAACGAAAAATGAAAAGACAGATTAAAGAGGGCTTATCGCGGCCGTCCAAACGTAAAAACCTTACTTCTTTCAAGAGCGGACCACAGCGAACCCTCACGTGGTCACATGGCATCAGCATGAGAACAACATGAGAACAGTACCTGAAATGTTTGAAGTAGCTTTGAAACCTTCAAGGGATATTTCAAGGATACCTTCAAGGAATTAGTAAGTCAGAGGGGTCTGGATGTAGTGGACCCCTGCTGTCTCCGAGTTGTCTTTTATGACTTATATCCGCATACATATGCATTTTCATATACATGTATCTTTAATAATAAACTACTCTGTTGCCCTGTACATCAGATTCTTAAAGGGTAACCAACAAATGAATCGGGTCCCAAACAGATTTGGGAACATATGGTCTCAGAAATTTACAAATAAAGCCATACATTCTCGAGCACAGTGTGAAATTCCCACTCAACCAGTTCTTAAAGAAAAGCCGGGGACGTCTCCCGTTACTCAAAAGATCTGCGATAACGAGTTGTGGCAATAACCGGCAACTGATAAAGCAAAAAGATACATTTAATATTTATTGTCATACTTCTAGAAAAGAAATTGGAACAAAATCTATCAAGCCTTATGGAATTGTCAGAATAACTTGAAGAATAGGCAGAATAACTTGAAGAATAGGTCGACATCAGCGAAATAAACGCCTATTTTGACTGGACTCGAAGAAGGCCTGGGAAAGGAAAGTTTCAACATTTAACAATCTTGTCGTACATATACAGAAATGATCAAAGATAACCATCCACGACAAATGAGAATCGCTGCTAATTACAACAAAATACAAGCATTTATAGCTCTACAACTGAACCTAAAAGGCTGCAAAGTTCCGAAAATCCTAAGAAACGTGAATCGATCGCAAAGCGTGTATCGGAACAATCGTAGACGAGTCAGAAGCAAGTACCTCGATTCGAATCAAAAACAACATCAAGCTCGTGTAGCAGAGATTGCGATAGGGGTATCTGAAAGGAGGGAAAAGGGTACTATTGATGAATCTTCAGGCGTGTTTACAGAACAGCCAAGGGTATCAACCGACAGAGTCACTCTGGTGAACTGTTCAGCCCGAATCTCTCCGGGGAAGCTTATATAAAGGAGAAATGGGTATCGATTCTGAAATAAGGGCAATGTACAACAAACAAGGCAAACTTTCCCATGTGGCATATGTCGTCTTTTCTTGAGGAGGGAAAGACATCATTCTCGATCCGGTCCCATCGGAGAAGATTTCGAGCCTGTTGCTTGGCTTCGGGACAAAGCCTTGTTGGTTGTTTATACTTAGTTGCCTTGTCGCGCGACATACCAGTCGAGTACATCATAGGTCTTCATACTCATGCCCCCAAATGCTTTGTAGGCGTCCTGGTAAAGAAGGGTCTAAACGAGAAACAAGTGACACAGTGTTTCCACTGAGGAGAGAAAGTGAGATAGATCACTTGACTAGAAGCGAATGCCAACATGGTAGTTCTGTGCCAGAATATCAACTAGGTTTCATGTAGGCAAAGGACAGGAAGTTCGGAAAATGCAATAGCCCTAGATGTAGAAGTCATTTCAGCGATGGAGACATGCCATGTCATTCAATCGGAATCGGAATAGCATGCATAAAATGCGGCTTTGCCAGTGAGTTTCCATAGACGACGTCGAAGCATGTGCCGATAGAGTTCGAGACCAAAGAATTCGGCTTCACACTGTAAAAAAAGCACAGTTTTATCCGAGTTTCGAGGTTCTATTAGATCCTCACCACTAATTGCTGTAATTGATATCTGTTATCTGGTATACTGGTACGTCGACCGTTTCGGATGAATTGTAGCACCTAAAGGAAACTATTACCAGTCGATGCACTGCTGTTGTTGCTTGTTTCACAGGGATGTTTAAAGACCCATTCTGCGATGTTTTGATGTGGGCAATATTGCCCAAAAATTGCAGTGTGGGTGGTGATTGATTCACTCACGAAGAAAAAGAACAAAGGGAAATGGGAAAACGGTGAAATTATGTTGTTTATAAAGTCAGCAGGACTTCCACAATTTGGGAATCAGAATAATCATTACGAAAAAATGAGAAAAAAAAAGAATCGAACTGTTTCGCTACCAGTAAGGCAACACAGTCTGCGTCGGCTGGGAAAGCTGGGAAATATCAGTGAAGCAAGGGGACTTCACCAAGTGAACGCTATGGCAACTCATGACCCATACACTTACCCTTACCGCTATCGGCTGATCTTCCTCAAGAAAAGTTTGGTTTACCCGTACAACTCGTTTCAGGTTGGATTCGTGAAGAGTTCAAGTATCCCTCCCTTTCTGAAGGCCGTCAGGTTGAGTTTCCCAGTGTGACCTTTTTACTCACCTCTCTAAATAAAAGTCCATCTTTGATATGATTTGGTGAAGAATCCCATTGCGTGCAATGAACCTGAAATGGCAGGGGATAGCAATTGTCGTGGAAGGCTAGTTCACAGTCGTGTGGACTGTGCAGTTCCCCCACAGGAGAGCAGACCGAAAAGCTAGTTAAGCATTGAATTATTACCTTCACAGATTCTCCTACGCGGATCACTCTATCTCTGAAGAAAGTGCCGCATGTCTCCGGATTGAGCAGCGTCTTCAACTGAACCGGATAAATCTGAAAAGAAGTCCATTCATCATAGCTGCTCAAGGTTGGGAAGAACTATGACAAGGGACGGTGGGTACTATTGGTACTGTCGTAGTAATGATCACCTGCAGTCGCAAAAACCGTTGCTTTTTTGGTTGCAGCCCTTTTGAAGACAGTATCTTTTGCTTGGATACGGCAATTGAATGGATTTTGTGTAACTGATTCACCGCATGCGTCAGTCAAGGTCCAGTGGCCTCGTCATTGCAGTTCTGGCGTTCTTCAGACAGCTCGATCAATATGCGATTATTATTTTTAACATAATGTTACTGCTAATTCTTTTGTTACTGCATTTCTTACTAGCTACGATGGTTCCGCTTCATTCTGCTACACTCCGTCGCGCGCGACGCCGCACTCGCCACGTCGCGACATTTTCGGTTTAACTGCGCCGCACCCTTTATAAGAATAGGTCTATAATACATAACGATTCTCTGCCAAGTAAATCCTTGATGCCCTTCTGAGTTTGGGTGAAACATTCGCACAGAAGAATGCCATTGATTCCCATTCGATTCCTCCACCGCTGCAAATTACTTTCTGAGTATTAGTTTTTCCATCTGAGTATTACGCACTACTACTTATTGTTAGTTAGCCAAGTCAAGGGTCTCTATCGCCTTGCTAATAATAACAGGGTGTCATTGTCACATGGCATAAGTATTATTGCCTATTACATCCATATTCCGAACGCCGATCCCTTTAACAGCGAAGAAAGAAGTCCTGTCATGGCTCATTCGTTTGGTGTCTTTGCTTTTACAGTATAGTTTGACACCTACTTCTATTTCCCTAGTTTTACTTTTCCTGAGGCCTCTTTCCTCAAGGCATGTAGGATATAGGGTTATTACGTGTGCAAAATGCACTAGTGAAAAAACTAAATCAAAGTTCTCAGAGATTGTCTGTTTGGTGACCCCGATACGTTGCACATCATCAAACAAACAATCTTTAAGAACTGTAATTTAGAAGTCCATCATTCAGTGACCGATTACTAACAAACTCCTTTGATCGAAATCTGTAACTCTCCACACGAAGAAGTATCATCGGATAGATCGAAGAAGGTCTCCCCATGACAAGGGTAAACGAGGAGGACGGTATCGCTCACAGTGT